ACTGGGTTGCGCAACGTGCTGTGAACGTTCGAAGTAGTTGGCATGGAATATCAGACGCCGCGGATGTGTCCACAGCTCCGTGACTCGGCGTTTTTTGTTTTTTTTTTTGCCTCGCGGATGAGCGCTGAAACGCTGTGTATCCACCAACACACTGTTTACAAACAAGCCCGCGTTTGCCCACGGAGTGAGGGCACTGCGCGCGCGCAGAAACCAGACTCGCCCGAGGCGAACGATCTGCGCATGCGCAGTGTTGACAGCAACGCCGACTCATCGGCGTGGCGTCAGAGAGTTGAGTTGGTCTGTAGGCTTCCTTAACAGTATCCTAATGCATAACAGGTGCGTGACCATGCGAACGTATTTCTCGAACATTAAGAAAGCAGACACTGTGTTTAACAGTCTTAATGATATTTACATCCGCTTTATTGCGAGGGCCAATAAAAAAAGTCCCATCCTGCGGTTTAAACCCATTTCCTTAATAAGCCGGCCTATTAATCCACAGAGACTCCGCAAAGTCACGCAGTGAACCACGTCACTGGAATTGTGCCGCGTTTCTTTTTGAGACGCTGCGCTGTCCTATAGCATTACAAAAAAAACGCTTGCCCATTTCCATACCTTGTCGTAGTCATCCTCGTCGAACGCGTACCTTCAATCTGCGCATGAACAGATTCATTCCCTAACAACACGCCAAAAAAAACGATACTGCCGTGAAATATTTGAGCCGCGTCACACACCGTATTAATCTGTCTGCGAGTGTTCTTTCTTTGTTCCGTAACTGACTATACTTGAGAAATGCATGACGTGAGTCCTTGAGTAGCTGACTGCGCGAACAGCTTTCACTTCCTAAATCGGTCTGAAGTCTCGCGGATCGACTGATGTCATGATTTTAAAACTTCAGATTATGAAATGTTATGTTATGAATATGTCGATAGAGTACCAACATTTAAGGAGGTTGATTCCTAATCCGATGAGAGGACGCAAAAGACACGACCTCCGCAGTCAGTGTACAACCAGCCGTCGCTACCTGAACGCTAACTGTTTTTATGAAGTGAATGTAAGGACGCAAACGAGCTGGTTTAGCCCCAAAACTGCAGGCAAGAAAACGACTCAAACACTAAAAGGAAGAGACCGTTTAGTCTTCGTGTCGTTTTTTGCATGCAGTCTTGGCGTTTACGTCATGTCGTGAATCAGACTCCTAGTAGCCAAATAAATGTTGGCTTTTCGGTTCTCCTTCTTTCAGCGTCTTTTGAGCTACTCACAAATCGGGGCAAGACAAAAACAGATCGATGCCGACACAGTGACCACGACGAAAATCAGAGCAGTTATATCTAGAAAGCGCAACAGAGCGGTCCGCCTATGGACACAAAGGCGAGGCATGGCTGCCGCACCCTCGGGCTCATCCAGACACTGCGACTCACTCCGCGCGGAGCCTTATTTGTCTAAGGGGGGAACGTGAACTATACAGCGAAGAAGTGCAGGACGACGCTCGGATGACGGAATCATTTAGATCGCGAAACGAGAATGCGACTCACTCCGGTCGAAAATATTGGTCTGGGATTTAATTTCCTCGGACGTTCTCCAAAGGAGCCTCAGCAGCGGGTTCATACGCCTCCTCTTTTCTACGGAGAAGACGGCCCTTTTGGCGGCAAGGAAAATACGCGCGCGCTCGCGTCTTTTGTTGACTTCCGAAGTCCCTTGGCAAATAAAGCTGCGAAGCCTACGGGTCAGTCCTATATACTCTATTCCTCTGTCTGGCGGCGTGTGTTGGGGCGCGGGAGCTCTGGCTTGGTCCCGCCAATAAGGTCTAGAGGATTCAGGCTGTTCGATGCCTGCCTCCTTATTTCCTCTAAATCTAACCTTACAATGTTTTTTTTTTTTTTTTTTGCGTGCGAGAATAATTAGTAGCTGTACAGTGTCTTTGACTTTGGACGACTTTTGTTCTTCTTGCTAGCCAAATGGTAGGTCACATTAAATTTAGTCCCTGTTTACTAAATCTCTAGCTTTTGAATAAAAAAAAAATAGGTGGAACTGTTGGAGAGCTTCCAACTGTCAGTTATTAAGAAACGCCAGTGCTGTTTAATTGCCAGAGCTAGCCATGACTCGTAAACAGCGGCGAAGCTTCTAGGGTATTCATGCTCAAACAGTTGACGTGGAAGTTTGCGTTTGTCCATTGTACTTTTTTGCGGCTATCTAAAACCATTGTAGAGATTATTGCTTGAACAACATAAAGTGCGCAATTAGTACGCCACGTGACTGCGGTATTTTTCTACGAAGCCTCTTAAATTTTTCTAGAATCACTTAGTATATTAAAAGTGCATGTGACACCCAACGCGGACTAATTTCTTTCGCGATCGTAAGAAACGCCGATGAGTTAAATGAATACAAATCTCGGTGACAACTTCGTATAGTTGTCGCGACGTACGGTGAGTCCCAAACTCAACGCCGCCACTATACATGGTCCGGTTTCTTCTTTTTTTGAGTTGTTCTTGAACTTAGCGGTTGAACTAGTTGGAGATAATTTGCGTCCCCGATGAAGCCCAACCAAGGGAAGGTATTCCAGCAGCTGCTGCGACCAATTTATCTTTAGGTAGCATGCAATAGAAATAGATCAATATTTGCGTAACCGAGTAGTTGCGTTAAGTTTGAGAGGCATGAAACATCCGGTTCAAAATCTCGCCCAACGCGCTATGTTGATCTACACTTTCGTCTCATATGTCTTTCCATGCGCGGAGGAAATGCTTTCTACCTCGCTGAAGGTTTTCTTCTTTTTTTTTTTTTCTTTTTTTTTTTACATCTGCGGTCGATGGCACGTTAGTCAGGGTAGTCAAGAACCTAGAAAAACGTGGTCTCGTACTTGATTTTTTTTTTTTTGTGTATATTAGTTTTTATTTTTTATTCTCACTTAAGCCGGACCAGCGATCGGGAAGTCGACTCGTCGGCGGCCAAGATGGCCGCCATAAATACCACCAGGCCGACGGATTTGAAACAAAAGATAAGCGGACTATAAGCACCGACTTTTCTCGGCCTCGAAAATACGTCTCCGATTGTATGTACCCACCGGGCTTTGTAGTCGACAGAGCCAGTCGCAGTGCTTGCGCGTTTCACCAACACCGAAAACGACGAAACTACCCGAGCGTCCGAATGCAAACCTATACCACCCCGAAGAGTGCGCCTTCTACGCTTCTACCTTTCTCCCTCAAACGTCATCACTTGAGACTCCACGCACCGGTGCACGTAGCTTGCGTCAGCGGTTGCCGCCAGCAGTTCTCGCAGCGTCTTGCAATGAGCGCGACGTTAACACGTGTCGATGCCAGTACAGACGAGTCTGCCGCCGTTGCGTCGACTGTCGACGAGCTCCAGCGTGTTTGCCACTTTGATCGGGTCCGGGAATCCACTAGCAATGACGTCATACGAAGGTATGACCCATTGAAAGTATCGTCTTCTTCATGTGCAGGGTTTGCAGCGACGCCAGAATGTGCCGAGCTCTGATTCAGTCTAATCGGGAAGGTAGTGGGTAGGGCTCAATGTAATGGCATAGTTCAAATTCGTCAACTTCTTGCACAGGGGGTGGGATGATGTCAGAATGCCGATCTCTTATTGGCTGATTGAAAACAAATAGTGGGTAGACCTCGAGGCATCTAGCATTGAGGACTACCCTCTATCCTTCTAATCAGAGTCAATCAGAACTAAGCGTCGTTATGACGTCAGCGCAGCTCCTGCGCAAGAAGCGGGTGACCTGCGCTCCGCATAGCTGCGTAGAGGTCTACCCACTATCCTTCCAATCAGAGCGATTGGGGCTTGGCGTTCTGACGGCACCGCGACCACCGCCAAGAAGCAGGCGAAACGTGAGCTCCGTATTGTCTCCTACGGGTTGATTCTAAGCGATATTCGGTTGTAAAAGAAATTGTATAATTAATTCAATAAACGGAGCGCGTTAAAACTTTTCGCTAAGCTGACTTTAGGTGATGCATTTAACGTACTTCAATTTCACAAGTGTGGGTTACAAAAAAAATTATGAGCTTAGAAAAAAAAAACTTTTTATATACATTAATCACAAACTATCACCGCACCGCTAGCATCACCTCTATGAAAACAACTCTCTCCTTACCACCTTTATCCCTACGTCGTAAAATTTCTCGTCTTTCCCTATTCCATAAAACGTATCACCATAATTCTTTCCTGCACGACAAATTAATTGCTCGGCCTGTCTATGTTTCCTCCCGTCTTGATCATCAACATAAGGTGGGCATTCCTAACTCTATCACAACCACGTTTTATTCATCTTTCGTTCCCCGTACATCCCAGGAGTGAAACCACCTTCCCCGGTCGATCGCCATTATCACGGACTCTGAGCTCTTTAAACGTACAATAACTAATTACTTTATTGCTGAGTGTGTCTAAATATGTATTATGTTATTTGCATTAACCTTCTTGTTGCTCTCCCCCTCTGTAATGCCTTCGGGCCCTGAGGGTATAATAAATGAAATGAAATGAAATGAAATGAAATAAGAAAACAGTAAAAACCGTCTGACTGACGCTGCTACTCGCGAGTAGTATACCACGCATGCTCATATCTGCTGAGTCTGCTTTACAGTGTTAATTTCTAAGAATTTTTATTGCGTTTGCTTTATGTTGTGCCATCTTTGAGTGGAAACGTCAATCCGCCTGTTTTTGCCGTTTTCATTTTTGTGCATAGGAAGAAAACGGGGCTTTTGAGGCCTTAGGGTTTTTCTCTAGCCCTAAAACCGACGCTCACCAAATTTCGGTACGATGAATGCGTCACCGAATAACATCTTTGAGAAAAGTTTTACTGCACACAATTGATTGGTGCATTTTTCGTAAGCTCCATTAGCGCTCCGGAAGCACCACGTAGGTGGTATCGTGCAAACTAACTAGGAGAGTGGTGGACGCTACCCATTGACATGACGAAACTTGGCTTACAGGAACTCAAAAATGCGTTTTGTGAAACCTCCGTTTACGGTGTTTTGGAAGACAGTGCTCACCAACTTCCTTGAGGTGGTCCAGTACAGCGTCCTCCTGGTCGACGTCTTCTTCCACTCCGTACCTGGCTCCTGCGCGTAGCTTCTGCTGTCGCAGCATCGCTCGACGTGCATTCTGCTCCTGCGCCAGACAAACAAAGAATACTAATCGTAACCACCCGGCATAACGAAAAAAAAAAAGGCAAGCGGTTTTTGTTTGTTTGTTTTTTATGCAATTTTTTTTAACCTTGAACATTTATCGAAATTCAGATGTAATTATGTTTCGGCTTTTTCCATAGACAATTCAAACGGTTACGAATTAATTTTCCAGTATTAAACTACTCCCCGAGAAGACGTGTGACATATCAATTAAATACCGATTTTCGAAATTAAATTTAATACATCTTTCATAAAAAAACCTCTTGAAACCGGTAATTACTAAGCACAAAAAAGCTGTAATTAATGCAAAGGTGCGAGCGAGCTAGACACGAGTGATGATATTAATCCATGAAGAAGGGAAACAAGGGGGACAAAGGACAAACACAAATCTCCAAACACAGCCGAGCGCTCCAGAAGAAATGGAGAGGTCCCTGCATGATTCGATACCAGGACCAGGCGGATTTTTTTCGGTCGCGCACAAGTCACCTAGCTGTGTTTTGAAATTTGTGTTTGTCCTTTTTCCCCCTTGTTCCCCTTTTCCAGGGATTATTATCATCACAAAAGCGTCGTTAATTTCTGAGGATAATAGGCGAACCGAAGCAAAACAAAAACACGCAAATATCGAAAGTGGCTCGACCTTCTAAATTCATCAAATATAAAAGCCAATATCATATTTGTTTTCAAAATATAACGATATTTTAGGAACCTTTCTTTAAAATATTCTATAAGACTGGTGACCAGTGAAACTCATTACTGGCACCCTGTCTCATGTGCTTTGTGTAACGTCCAAAAAAAGAAAATAGTTCGTAGACTGGTTAAGTTAAGTTTGTCGTAGAGTAGGTGCTATCAAATTCATAAATATTGCGGCACTGTGAACTAGTTCCTACCTTTTTGGACAAGTACGGATGCAGCCATGACCGAACTTCACTTTTGCTCTCCCTTCATTCCGTGCGCTTCTTTCATATTTCATATATTGTGCCGTAGCAGTATAATAAATCGATTCTGTGTCATCGTGTCAATTATCGCCTTTACCGGTGTGTGCTCTTGACAAAATTTCCGTCGGTGCGTCCCTCACAACTGACACGCGTTTATTTCTTAGAGCAAGGACCTTAACAAATACGCTGAGGGGATTATTATTTTCCCTCGAATGGCGTTCGCGAGAGTGGTGAAATTGGATCCCGCTTGCACTTCCCGCGAACACTTCTGACTGAATACATTTCGTTCCGTTGCACTAATACGGCCAATAGGAAACACGAAAAATACAGGGCGGAGTGGTTATCATACCCGACCAGATATTGGAAGAACCGGAATTTGAATCCCCGCTGCGCCAAATAATTTCTCTTTCGGCGGCTACAAAACCTTCGTTCTATTCGGTCATGTACACTTCAGTATTCCGAATATTTTAGAACATTTCTTCTTTGAAGACCACGTAAGAAGATGAAAAGTGCACCGCAATCACAAGATGCGGGCTCATCAATACAGTTTCGCCGCGCCTGTCGTGCTTCCGTCGTCGTGGTTTGTGGAGTGACGTTCACCTTTCAAGGAACAGTGGGACTTGTATATACACTTTTTTTTTTTTGTGAAAACGGTCGCTTAGGAAAATAAGAGGGGAAAGGGGGTTGCTTAAAGAACGAAAAATAGGCTACGTTTCTTTCCTTTCAGATTAGGCCACTTTATATAAAGTCAATTTACTGTTATTATGCATTTCGTATTTTTAACGGATCACTGAGCAAAACTCACGCTCTTCTCAAACAAAAAAGAGTGAGTATACTTTATCCACGGGACACCGCACACTGAGCCACGCGCGCAAGCGAAACATCCGCGCTTTTTTGGCCTTCGCACATGTATACAGTTGCGTGTTTAACACGAAACCTCTCCGCCTGCGTGACTTAGGCACGTGATGGCGTTGCCTTTGCATGTACTGCGCGCAAATAGTGACATGGAGTATAAGGAGAGAGGGTCTTGACAGAAAAAGTCCTAGCTGACGCAAAACGTTCCATAAAATCGGTGTGTTTTTTTTAACTTTTTTTCAGACCAGCAGGCGTTTATTTGTGTCTTTTTTAACCGATTTGGTATTTTCTAAATAGCCCGATGTTTATCGATAATTTCTCGGTAAAACAAACGTAAATTCTACGGCGTATATATATGTAACTCCAAAAATAAAAGCTGCTTTTTTTTTAATTTCTAGGTTAACGAAAAAAAAAAAAAAAGTAACCTGCGACAAGCGCGCTCATATATTGCATTTCAACCGATATTCGAAGATGTGCAAGCACGCCGCCGGATGTTGTATTTCTTCCATGCTGAAATGGCTCACTACGCCGCGGTCCCTTCGAATCTTCGGTATACTTTATAGCTCGTACCTGTTTTCCCTCTTTGTGCTTGGTTCTATGCAGTATACATTATATAATTTATCAACACCAGTCACTAAACTGGTACTGAAAGAAACAAAACAAAACAAAACAAAAAAAAAAAAAACAGGCAGCAGCGCATCCTAGGCCTCTCGCCATAGCTAATGGGATGGCGCCGTTATCCGTTACAAAACGAAAAAGAACCAATCACGAGGCACGAAACGTGAACGTCACAAGCCCTACTTGGAATGAAGAGCGCGCTGGTAGGGTAGAATATGAAGGGAAGAACATGAAAAACGAGGACGGACAAGACGATTTCCCAAACGTCTTGTCCGTCCTCGTCTTTTATGTTTTTCTCTTATTTATATCTTGTCATAAGCCCCGCCCTGCGTTTCTTGAGCTATCGGTAACATAAAATTACTCGGACATCTGGGAATTCCTAATACCGTATTTACTCGAATAATAGCCGCGCTGTTTATGTAGAAAACCTGAGGGTTCGCTTTTCCGCCGAGCATGCAGATTGCCAATCACCGCGACACGATTGTAGCGGTTTACAGGACAGAGGACAGAGATGACGTCTTCGTACGAAGTCACGGTCTGTGAAGATTGAATTTGTATGGAGAATCGTGTTCTCAATCCCGTTATTCGCTATGTTATTTTTGCGCAACGCAATGATTGGCTGTGTATGTGTTATGTGGGAAAGTAGCCGCAAGGGCCCTGTTCATAAATAGAGCGGCTATTACTCGAGTAAATATGGTAGTGTCATTCACGCGTGCGTTTTAAAGCAAACAAAAACGCGCGCTGTCGCAAATTAATCATGCTGTATCACAAAAAAAAAAAAATTACAGGATTATGTTTATTATTTTATTAATTCGGGAGAACGAGGTACATTCTAATTAGTTGGAATTAGTGCACGCAGGTATTTCCGTTTGTCGCATTCTCAGCTCGTGGGACGTCGTCGACGGTCCATTCCCTAACTTGCAAAGTAAAAAGATTGGAAGATTTTTGTTTTTATGTATTTACAGATATCCTCAATCTTTTGCGTGTATTCCTGCATCAGGACGCGTTTCATAAGCGCACGCGTATACAATTTTTTAACACGCGCAAGCTGTGTCACTGAAAGAAAAACACTAAAATATGTATTAAAAGAGAGAGAAAGAGTGTGGAGAGAGAGAGAGAGAGTCCCAGATGATTTCGAAGTAAAACAGCCAATGCGATGGGCCCGTTAGAGAAAAAACTTTCTTACGTTTGTCTCAAACGTAAGAAAGTAAAAACATAAAGTAAAAATAAAAGAAATAACAAAAAGTTAGGAGAGAGGGGGGGGGGGAAGACACATAGAAAGAAGATTTAAGCTCACGGCAGTGAAAACGCTCAAAAGCCGGGTCGAACAAAATGCCGTCGGAATTCGAAACGGTTAGCCCTTTGCCTCTTTATTCGTCGAGCTTTATTTGTTTATTTATTTATTTTTCTCATTCACCTTAGCTCGTTGCTAATGCCTCAAACGGCGACTACTTAGATGTGCATAATAGATAAACTCCTAATCGGACCATCGCATATGCGATAATCGGATCTCCGCACGGCTGCTGAACGCATGAGAACAGAACAAAAACAAGAATGTCTGAAAGCAACGAAAAAAAAGAAAAGAACGTTATAGTTGCCTTGTTCCGTCATATGCCGGGATATCGTCGGGTGAAGCGTTTTGAGAGCTAAAGAAGGGGAAATGTTTCCCGGAAGGCCTTAGTGCCGCAGTTGACGTTCCGATAAGAAACTTTGCTTTTACTATGCGCCTCGAGTAAAGTCAAGGGCATGTTCACACATCTGCGTTCTGAGCGTGGTGGACAGCGTTGATGCAAAGGCTTTAGACTGCTTACTACCAGAGAACGCACTGGCGCCATCTGTCGGTAGACCTGGAACATTTCAAATTCGTGTATTTTTCAATTTTAAGGCATCATTATTTTAGCGTGGGTTCAAAATAATGCTCACAATGTTATAAGAGTGTCCAATTTCTCATCAATTGCGCGTAGATGGGCTCCTACTAATACTGCGAAACGTTTTAGTTGCACGTATATTGGAAAAGTTTCGAGGCTACCTTATAGAAGGCGCCAGTGCAGCATTCAGTTCCCTAGTCGTAAGCGGTTACAAGCACTCACAAGGCACTTGCGCACACTCAAACGTAAACGTGTAAACCAGCCTTACACTCAAACGCAAATGCGTGAAACAGCTTCGCACTCAAACGCAAAGGTGTGAACCAGCCTTAGACTCAAAGTCGAATTTGTGAACAAGCCTTGTAATGAAACGCAAATGTGTGAACCGGCCTCACACTCAAACGCAAATGTGTAAATTAGCCTTACATTCAAACGCGAATGTGAGAACCAGCCTCATAGTCAAACGCGAATTTGTGGACAAGCCTTACACTCAAATGCAAGTGTGTGAACCAGTCGTACACTCAAACGAAAATATGTGAAGAAGCCTTACAATCAAATGCAAGTGTGTGAACCAATCATACACTCAAACGAAAATATGTGAACAAGCCTTACACTCAAATGCAAGTGTGTAAACCAGCCATACACTCAAACGCAAATCTGTGAACCAGCCCTACACTCTGACGCAAATGTGAGAACCAGTCTTACAATCG